TGGTGCCGTTCAGCAAGACCTGGACAGGCTAGAGAGTTGGGAGGAGAGGAACCTAATGAAGGTTAGCAACAGGATAAGGGGCACAAACTGAAACACAGGAAGTTCATCTGCATATGAGGAAAAACTTCATTACTTGAGGGTGGCAGAGCACTGGAACAGGCTGCCCAGAGAGGCTGTAGAGTCTCCTTCTCTGAGATACTCAAAACCCACCTGGACATAATCCTGTACAACCTGCTCCAGGTGAAGCTGCTTTAGCAGGGTGGTTGGACCAGCTGATCTCCAGAGGTCCCTTCCAACCCCAGCCATTCTGCGATCTTCCAATCTCAAAGGAGTTTTGGGAGATTAAATCCATAAATTCTGGAGGCATGCGGATTTCGTGGCAGATGTGGCCATCATGGTCCTTTCAGAAGATCCTAAGATACAAGAAAGCACCACCCTGCACTAAAACACTCTAGACACAATGGTCAAGTTAAGGACCATTGTATACTAGTTAGGTTCTTTTTAGAAATATTTCCTTCTCTACTTTTAAAAATCTTTTATACAGAAGATCCTTCATTTTAAGTTATACCAGCTTGGAACCGAATGGCCATAGATAAATGCAATGAAATTTTCTTGGCATCAGCTATATTATTCTTTCTCACTCCTTCTATGAAACAATCCCTGTTCAACATTAAAAACACTCTCCTTAATAGGAATTTAAGCTTTGATGCCAATATTCTCTTAGTAAATAGTTGCACTTATTTCTAAAATTGGTTAATTACACTGTGGTGGGTTGTTCCCCTCTCACCAGAAGTGAAAGAGAAGAAACTAAAGAAGATTCTAGGGAGGAAAGAACAGCTATGTTGCAACATTCCAGCCATTTGTGGTACTCCAAAGGGGGAGAAAAAAATCACTGGAGATTTGAAGAGACCTTTTTAGGAACAGAGTTGGGCAGTCGAACACTGTGGGCTATCAGAAGCTCAGATGGGAATTAGTTTTGCAAGGAGTAGAGTTCTTGCCAGGTACATTCCCTCTCACTACTCTCCCACTTGTGGAATCTGGGAGGGTAGCTGGAGGAAGGAGCGGGGGGGAATCTGTTCTGTATGTTGAGTCGATACGAGGCTCAACCAAACACGAAAACTTAGTGCCATCCTTGTGGAGCTGCTTTTAAAAGCATATGTGTAGATTCCTTTCACGTGGTAAATGGCTTCTGTGATCACACCTATGAAGACTTCTACGAGAAAAAACTTCAAACCAGAAACTGTATTAATTTTTCTGTTACTTTGAAATACCTGTTCTGTGACCGGCATTTATACTCTTTTAATATTCATTTAAAGCTATGAAAAAGCACATCGTCTATTTAATCCTTATAAGCTTATTTTTGAAAAATACAAAGCTTTAAAAAGCTTAATTTTGATTTCTGTTTTCTGGCGCAGTGTAAACATCAGACTAAAACTAACTGTAGCAGTAGTAGTTTATTGTTTATGGTATAAAAAATTGTAAATATGCAGCAGTTTTTATTGAAATAAGTTTTACAAACTTTTGACTAAATTAATAGCACTCCTGGGGAAGAGCCAAAAAATTCTATCTAATATGGTGTTTCATAAAATGTAAATCAGACCATCACCAGTCATGAAACTTTATGTAGCAGTATATTAAAGTTGGTCTCAAAATGCGAGTGTTCCCATCATTTCATCCCGCATTAAGCTTCAGACCTATGTGTATTTATTGTCGTGGAAATTTAATTGTGTTAATGTAGTGCCTGACTCCTAATGAATAATTTGCAAAAGAAGTGGACTGACACTTTCTCAGCATATTGTGTTTGCATCTTAATGAACATTTTCTGCTTGGTCATGATCAAAATAGGAATACATTTACATAATGTTAATCAAGCACTTGTTCTTAGCATTTGGAAAAGGGCAGGACTTAAATTTAATTTTTAGTGTGTGCATGTCTCTAACACAAGTTTAACAACTAGTTTAAAATACAAGTTGCTGTCACAGTGAAAACTGATATTAACTATCCCTTCTACAAGCTCTATATTAAATGTTCTTTTAAGATGTTTTATAGATTGATATTTTATAACTCATTCCTATTGCTTGCTCTCTAGACATAAATCTTATCTGAACTTTCCCTAATCTTTCTCAACCTTTTTAATTTAGATGATCACTTTCCATTTTTAGCCATTCATGGAGTGATAATTCTTTTCTGGTACTTTGGTGCCACTTCATCTTTGGAACCAGAGAATAACAAGTGCTTAAAAACATCTTTAAAGATGTTTGTCTGGGAACCTAAAGGAAGCAGTCTTTTTTCACTTTTTTATTTTTCTTTTTTTTTCTTTTTTATTTCTCCAATCTTAAAGTGGAAATCTAGTCAGCTTAAAATTAAGAGAAACAGAGAAATAGATACAGAGTTAGAAATAGTTATTTTTAGACAAGGTATTACCTGTTTTCGTTTGTTTGCTGCTTCTGTTCCTGGTAATAGTATTTGGTATAAAAGATGATGAAAGGGAGCATAAGAAAATAATTTGTGACACTTTAGTTGAAAAAGAAAATGGCAGTCATAGGCAGCCTGTTTTGACTATGTAATATTTTTTCCCCCTCCTTCTTGTTTTTGTTTGTTTGGTTTTTGGGTTAGAGGTTTTTTGTTGGGTATTTTTGCTTCCTATTCCGAGAGCGTCATGTGTTTCATTTTTTTTTTTATTAATTGACAACCCAAAAGTTAGCATTCACTTTTCTGGAATCAGGGGCAAAAGAAGCTTCTGCCAGGAGGAGATTTTGAGGTAAGAGAAAGGTGTGTTGGCTCCCATTGTGAGGATGGAATCTTTTGGCCAAAAGATGATGTTGCAGTGCACAGAGAAGTAGAATGGAAAGGTGAGAGATATGAAGGGTAAGAATACAGAAAAAAGAAGTGAGGCTAAAAAAAAAAAAAAAAAAGGCCGCTTTGTTGCTTTGCTTTCTTCAGTACTGTTTGTTTAAAAAAGAGCAAAGCATACTATGGATCTCCCCCATCTCTCAGAAACAGCTAAAACGTGCTTTTCTCATTTTTCAGTGGCAAACAAAGCAAGCCTACAGGGACTTGACAGGGACTTGTCATATACTTTCAGGCATATTGTAAGAATTGGATTATGAGGGAAATGATCAGCAGTGCAAACACACTGTGTAATCTGTTGCATTTTATGCCAGGGATTCCTGAATGGTGTTTAGCAAGGCATTTGAAGCACAGGCTTGGGCGTTAGTGCTTCTGTGACAGCATCTTTCATCCGTTAGCACTAATTGCGCCCATAATGGTTCTTTTGGGCTTGCTTTGAAATGTCAGTGCAGTTCCAATGTGACTAGAATCGGGTTACATTTAATGCAGTAGTCCAACTGTCTCCCAGTTTTTAATTGTCATAAAAATCATATGCAGACTGTATGAAGCAGCTCTGTTCCTGATCTTGGTTCTCACAGGTAGAAACCAGTGTTTTCTATCAGCTTCTCACTGAGATAAATCATCCATTATCGGTGTTAAAACGTAGAGCTTCAGGCTGCACCTTTTACTCTGCGGTAAGCTCGCACAACTTGTTTTCTTTTGGAAAAATAGCATGTCTCTGTGTGTACAGGTGTAGGACGACAGCAGGAAAGAAGAGCAACTAATACTGCATAATAACAAAACAAAGACAATTTACTTTCTCTTGATGATAGTAATCTATAGGTGGTGACTTTATCCTTGTGAATTGTTTGATTAAAGCCTGTGGATTTACTGAGAAACCCTCAGTAAAACCCTAGCGTTGCTTCACAGATAAAGCAAAAATCGTAAGAGGATCAAATTGAGACTCATTTCTTGGTCCCGGGAGATTAATTTTGTTGTATTTTGATGCGGCTGTTGAAAAAGTACATCTGTCCTCAGTTTCCCTCATCTCTCTGCTGTGTCTTCATTGAAAGTTATGTCACTTATTTGTGGTTTCTCACACTGGCTTAAGCCACCGATGGAGACAGGTTTGTGGTAAGGGGCTAAGATGGGAAGTAGAGCTGAGGAGGAGGAGCCACCACACGGCCCATTCCTCGTCCCTGATACGGAATGGTGCTTCCAACCTGCACTGTGTCTGAGCTCTTCTGTACAGCAGTTCAGAGTTCAAAGGAGCTGGCTAATACTGCGCTGGCATCTGGATTTTTAGGAAAGCCAAGCAAAAGCATGTGATGTCTGCCACCACTGTTACTACAAATACTTGATAGAAGCAGACACTCTGGTAGTAAAGCACATGTTTAATGACCAGCCTTGTAAAGACAATTACCGGTTTTGATTTTACAGAGAGTTTGACTGTTTTATGAAGTGTACATAGTAGCTGAAGTTGTATAATGAGAGTATGGTGGTGTATAATGTGGAGCTTTTGTTTTGAGGAGGAACTGCAATGTTTTGATATTCCAGGTTCCTTCTGAAAGGCAATTAATTAGCAATTCACTGTGGTGAACCTTTGAAGGGTCTGAGTCATCTTTAAACTCATTCAGTGCTGGGAAGAGCATCGCAAGCTGATGCGTAATGGCTGCTTCCAAAATAGATATTGACAATGGACTCTCATGCGAGAGAAGGAAGAGTGAGTGAGTACTTTCACTATGAAATCAGAAGTCTAGTGTCTTTAACCCGTTCTTTCAAATATACATGAGCGTTATTTAATTCTTTTACTGGCAAATTTTTTTTCCACTCAGAGGAAGTTCTGATTTTTGGTGTCATTAGATATTCCACTGGGTCTCTGCACTTCAGGGATGGAGAAATTGATCCCTTAGCATAAGTTTCATTTGCATAAGTATGCTATATCTGTGCTGCATAATTATAGACCACCAGTACAAGCAGCAGAATATTACATGTCTGGAACTTGAAAAATTCTTTTAATTTGACATTTTCGTATTTTTTGTCAGTCAAGGGTTGGTTTCATTTCAGGGAGTTGTTGAATAGAGAAACTATGATTGAAGTACCAGTTTCAAACATCTGATCTATATGTTAGTCATCAGCATGCTTACTATATCAATGTTTTATTCTGTATAGTGCAAGAATTTTGCATTCTTTTCCATGTTTTTTAGCAAAATATAGACATAAAAATGCCTATGACTAACTTGGATTGGGAGATAAATCTCTAAAAGTATAGCATGGAGCAGAAAACAAAAACAAAACTGAAAAAAACCCACATAGTTCATTTGTCACAGTGCAGTGATTATCCAGATCTTGACATATGTAAAGGAGCTTAAGAATAAGCATTTCCAAATGATTTTTGTTTGTCTACTGTTCACAGCTTCTTCAGGGTGAAGGTGAAATTGTTCCAGGAAGCATCCATGTTATTACCGAAAATAAACACCTAATGAAACATTTAAAAATTAAAGTTGAGGTAGCAAATGTTGGCTATGGGGTAGGATCTGTCAAATGCAAAGTAGAACAAGGCTCTTCTTTTAAATGCAAAAAAAAAAAAAAATCATAATTTGGTTTTTTTTCTGGTGTAGGTGTCTTTGTCTTGGGGGAGCTATCTTAAAACTGCCATTATCTTAATATGGGGACTGTTTCTGCATCGATAGATGAAATGTGGATTTTCTTAGATAAGAAGAATAATGCTTCCATCTGTAAGTGTTTAGCTTCTTTATTCCTGTTGCTTTGTTTTTAAGTGTAAATGGAAACTAGGCAACAGCAACTTGGATGTAGGCTCCTTAGCGTTTGGGAGTATTTAACAGGAGTAGGGCTTCAGTGTGCTGAATAAGCAGCAGGACAGTTTAGGGAAAACTGGGGAGATTTGACAGTGGAAGCTGAAGAGCTAGAGGCTTGGTGCTTAAAATGAAGCCAGAGAAGGGTGGCAAGGTGTGTTTGAGAAGACACTAATAGCTGTGAACAGAATACAAACAGGGCCATCGTAGCTGAAACCTCACAATTGTGGACTGTATTACAAAGTAGTTGGCATAATTGTGTACTTGTAAGCAGTTTTTGATGTTGGTGGCAGGGAATTATTTTGGGTGGGTTTTTTTTTTGGTTGGTTTGGGGTTTTTGGGTTTGGGGGTTTTTTTTAGGAGGTACTATAACTGAGTACTAGATCTTTTTCCCCCAAAAAAAGAAGTAAATGCCCTGTCTTCCCACTGGCAGAGCGTGAGAAGAAAGGAGTTGGATGATATATTCCTCTCCTTTAGTTTGGGGGCCTGCAATCAAAAAACTTGTTTACTGTGGTCTGCCAGCACAAATACCAAGTGTATTGAAAGGTCCTCTGGTTCCTCACTTTGATACATGGCTGAATACTAGTATACTCTCTCTGAACAGATCAGTGGCTCTGTATACTTGGTTCTTTTTTTCAGTCTCTAATAAATGGGCAAAGAAATGTCTTGATTATTTTTATAGAAATAGGTACACTCTGTAGAGCAGAAGTTTGTGCTTGGAGGGAGTTTAAGGGGAGCTGAAGCGACGTCCCCAGTGTTTTCAGCCTGCTTCACGAGCCTTTTGTATGTCATGTTGTATTACCTCTGAGTTGGAAGATACTAAAACAAAATCCATTAAGACAAGACCTAATGTTATCTCAGTTGCCTTACATATAAAAAGGTAGATGAAGACTATCGTTTCTATATAGAAAGCCAAATGTCCATTCCCCCTCAAATTCCCGAGGCTTTATAAACAAGCATTTGTGCTCATTCTTTGATAAAGCAACCACAGAAAAAAGGCTGAGGCAGTTGATTGCATAAGCCTGATGGTTGGAAGATGGGATCCTCAGGCCTCTCGCTGCTTCCTGGCCTCAGCCTGTTCTCATTCACGTCTGTTAAAAGCTATCTAAAAAACTTTAAAAGCTACTGAAACTGCTGCTTTTTTTTGTACGGAACTAGCACCATTTCTTTGCCTCCAGTGCACCTGGTTAGACCTCAAGGGTGTCTGGTGTTCTTTCGTTGTACTATACTGGGGTATATTTTTCTGCTCTCTGAGATGATTTCCCACCTTTTTTTAGTTGTTTTCTGACTGTTTGTTTCTTTAACTTTACTTGCTAGAACTACAGTTGTGTTTTAATGGTGGTTTTCAATGAAGCCTACGACGACTCCTCTCCAGTTTGGGTTACCAGGAGAGTTGTTATTCAGCTGCATAATGTAAAATAAAAGGAGAACATTGTTAATTATAAATGACTAGCCTTATTAACTCTGTCCAGACATATATTGCAGAATTCTGATTCCCTTCCCAAGGGTAAGCTTGAGATAGCTGTGAGCTGCCAGGTTTACTTTCTGTATAGACTCTATTCCCAGCTCTCACTAAAATAACCTAGACTTTTTGAACTTTTATGCAGCTCTATGTGTCTGTATGTACAAATAAGAAATTCTGGATACAAACTTTGCTCTTTAGTGGAGTGTGGAATAATACAGCATATTCTAATTTATAACCAACTTGTATATTTTTTTTTCTTTCCAATTCCTTTCCTTCCTCACCATGTTTAATGTACTTTGACCTCCTGAATTCACCACATTGGTTGGGGAATTAAGAATGTTATCTTGGATGTGCTTGAAGCCCTAACTGTTGTTAGCTTGGAGTAACTAATAGTAAGGCCCTCTGTTATTTAAATCCTTTTGGAGGTCATCAGTGATCCTGAAGGTTGGCTTGTCTTCAAGACCATTGAAGCAGAAGAGAGTCTGTATGTTCCTTTGCTTGTATTGCATTTGTGCAGGAAGAGAAGTGAAATGAAAGAAGCTGAATGTATGGAAAAAATAATGTTAAAAGCTTTCATTGGTGACTCTAGGAAGAAAATAGAAAATTCAGTCTTAAGTACAGACTAAAAATTTATGCTACTATTACATGCTAAAGGAAACATTTGTGTAGTACTTAACGTGTTCTGAAGTCTGGATGAAGTAATATTTTGGAGATTTGCTAGTTTTCAGGTAGCTTTATCAATTTGTCAGTTGTTCAGTATAAATCAGTCATCAGAGTTGTATTTCACAATAAACTGAACACAATCTATTTAATAAGGTATGCGAAGTATTTCAAGGAGTGCCTCATCCTTCATGTCTGTATCTTACCTCCTTTACCCCCACATTTCTCTTGCATGGCATATTCAGCAACTGTTATACTGACATTGGATTTTTACTATAACCTTTCTATAATGATTTTTGTATGGTGCTTTAATAGCATTAATATTTGCTTTTTTTAAAAGTCTTGGCAAGCAAAAGGTTCTGTTTAAGTGTAATCCAAGACAAGACTGTATTTCAAAATAGTTGCATTGATTGCAACAGCTGATAAAACTTTGCCCTTAAACTAAGGGATGAGTTTCTTTTCATACTAAGTTGATGTTACACACCTTGATCTTTGCAACTTGAGTAACTTTCATATCTAAACAAAATAAACAATGGATTTGCTATCCTAGCCAAGGCTGTTCATTACCGCTTATAACAGGGAAGTTTAATACGTTTCTTGCCATGATCCTATAATCAGCTCCTCCTGACAAAGTCTGTGAAGCTCTGTAGAGCTTCACTGACTTCCACTGATGTTCGGCCAAAAGTAAGAATTCAAACCTGAGAAATCTTAATTTTTAACTGCAACTGAAACACATGTATGTGTGTGTTCTTTGGTGGATAGTTTATTGGTTTTGATCCTATATTGTGTGCTTAAAGGTGAATACATAGTCTTATTTATGCCTATCTTATATGCAAGGGACTTGGGAAAAAAACATGGATTAAAAATAGGTTGCTGTGTCATAGGCATTACTTGGATTCCTCTGATTTTTTTCAGTGATTTGATGTTGGCTAATGGATAATGTTGAGCATATTCCCCCCCCCTTCTTTATATATAAGTTTCTGACAGGAAATCTGTAGCTAAATATCATTTCATGATATCCATCTGTTCATGTATAATAGTGTTTTATAACGCAGTCCAGATTGCTGCCCAATAGAAATGTCTTATACCAGGAGATAGGTTTTCAAGTGATTGTTGTACATACTAATTATTTTTTTAATGAGTGCTTCGTTTAATTTTGAAGAAAAGTAACTCATTTTAAAGACAACTTCCTTGATGCAAAAATTGCCACTAATTAACTAAAATACCGCCTCATTTTTCTAGTGCCAATATTTTTTAAAAGAAAGGTTTGAATAGTTGTACTACCATGGTAAAATAAGAAAATAAAATGCATCCTTGGATTCAGAGGGAAAGAAAAAGGAGGCAGCAGAAACAGAAAACTGCTGAAATGTTTCTTAGTAGCTCAATTTTGTGATCTCTGCAGTGTGTTTCCCAGCTAGTGAGGACTAGATTAAAGAGCATTTACAATAACAGATACAATTTTAATTTTGACAACTCAGGTGACTTCCTCAAGTATTAAGAGTAATTGATAAAACTGGTAAAACACTAGCTCTTGAAAGATGTATGTCAGCATATGTTTTTAAAATGAAAGTTTCCATCCTTCGCAGCTGGGAAGAAAGGCTTGGTAATGGGAACCAGGTGTATCCGTATGGTGGGAAAACAAGAAGGCAAATTAAAAAAACCTACCTGTGTTATTCATGCTCTTCATCACATGTCAGTCCTGATTTTTGTACAACTGACTGTAAATCATTGCGGGGGGGAGGTGTTGGACTAGATGACCTTTAAAGGTCCCTTCCAACCCAA